CACCTAGATGCTGGCTTGGTGGCTCTGTCCTGCTGGGGGTCGTGGCTCTGGACACGTGGCAGGGCGAGCCCTGGGGGCTGGGCCCGCCTAGGCCTGGTGTGCGGCGCAGGTGGGGGCGCAGCTGTCCTCGTCCCCCGACGCGGCCCCCACTTCCCCTTGACTCACCGCCGCCCTGGCTGCCTCCGTCCCTCCTCCCCAGCTCCTTGGCAACTCCGAGATCTCGGGGACTCTTGACTTACTCTGTCGGTGCCCTGCCCCCTGCTGGGCTGCAGCCGGCACCCGGTTCACCCGACAGGTACGGGCACAGCGAGGAGGGCTTAGTAGGTCTCCGCGGAGGAACAGCTCATGTTTGTGGCTTGTAGCTGGATGAGGGCGGGTGAAGTCCCAGGGCCAGCCACTCATTGCTGGTGACCTTGGGGTGTCCCTTGTCCTCTCTGGGCCCAGCATCCCAGTGGGTCCTCCATGGGTGCTGCCTTGGCGAGGGCAAGGGCTGCGTGGGAGGGGCTGCCAGGTCACAACCTCCCAGACAGTGGGGGTGGTACCTGGTTGCCAAGGTTACGGCCACCTGTGCCGGGGACGTTGCCCTGGAGACGGACCACCGGGGAGGAAAGGGCAGCTCTGGATGGGGAAGCCGCGGGAGGGGCTGGGGACAGGAAGGGCACTGCCCACTCTCAGCCCCGCATGCTATTGTGGGGAGGGTGTGAGGTTGGCTGGGGGCTGGTGGGGGGCTCCCTGGCAGGATTCTTCCTGTGCCTCCTGATAAAATGACAGCCCCTCCCTCTCCTGTCTCCCCAGAGCAATGGTGGTAACAGGTCAGCAGTAGAGGTCAGTGTGGCCCCAAGTGGCTTCCCCTCTGTAATGAAGGCAGGAGTCCTCAGTTGCTAAGAGGAAAAACGTGAGGAGTAACTGGGACCTTGGGTCTGAGGCCAGGCTCCAGCTTGCCTGGATACTTGCTGTGTGACCTCAGGCTAGGCGTGAGCCTCTCTGAGCCCCAATAGCCTCATCTGTAAAGTGGGCATCATGAGTCCTGTGGCTTTGGGGAGGGGTGAACGGGCATATAATATTTACCACCTGCCTGAGCCGGGCCAACAATCAGGTATGTTCAGAGTTGCCTGGAGTGAGCAAGAGGCACTCAGGTCGTCTTAAGGGAAGTTAAGAGCCATAGAGGGTTCTAGACAAGGGTTGGCTTGGGTGGCCATGTGGGACGATTCTAGGTACAGAGGCGGGAACTCCAAGAACCGTCTCCTAAGTAAGTAACCGCCCCCACCCGAGCTCAGAAGGAAGCTCACTCATCCACCATCGAAAGATCCCTCCTCTGAGGCACACAGAAGTGGAGAGTGCACTCGCCTCGTGCGCAGGGTCCTGGGTCCAACTCCCAGCAGCAGAGGGGAGCGAGGAGCGGGAAGCCGGCCCGACTCTGGGGCCTGTGGTAGGGAAGTCGGGCCCACGCTGAGCGTGAGCGTGAGTTGCCCAGGTGGGCCTTGGATCTGCCATCCTCCTGCCTCAGCCTCCCGAGCGGCTGGGACGACAGGCGGACGCACTCCTGTACACGCCACCCTCTTCACAGACGGCTGGACTTGCTGATTTCTGGCCAAGGCTATTGCCTCTCTGGTCACGAGGGACACTGGCCTGTGGATTTTCTCCTTTGGGTGGGGTTATGCTGGTCTCAAAAATGACCTGGGAATGTCCCCTTCTCCCTGGCTTCGGGTGGGTGCCCCAGCATGACCCCACCTCACTGCACTTTGTGGTGCTGGGATTGGAGCCAGGGCCTCGCGAGTTGAGGAGTGCTCACCACTGAGCTGCCCGGCCCTCCTCGGCGTCCACTCTGAAGGTCAGGTGTCAGCCCCTCCCATTCGGCCAAAGGCGATGAGAGGCCAAGGTGAACCCACGGTCATGGGCGCCTGGCAGGGCTGGCTCCTGAGATGGGGAGACGGGCAGGGGCTGGGAGGGGCAGCCTGGTTTTGGTCCTGCTGATATGGGGGGTCTCTGAGCTGCCCAAGTGGCGTGGGCCTCAGGGTGGAGCCGACCTGGAATTCCTGCTGGGAGGCCACAGGCAGGGGAGGAACTCAGAGGCCTGTTCAGCAGCAGGGGTGCGACCCAGGCCACCCGTCAGGAGACCCCGGGCCTTTCCTGGCCTCTGCAGGCTCTGCTGGCCTCCCCCTCCCCTCCCCCCTCCCTACCTCCTCTTCTTTTGGGGACCCGGGATTGGACCCAGGACACTGAGCCACATCTGTGGTCCCTTTTATATTTTAGAGACAGGGTCTCACGGAGTTGCTTGGGGCCTCACTGAGGTGCCGGGGCTGGCTTTGAACGCGCCATCCTCCTGCCTCAGCCTCCCGGGCCGCCGGGTGACAGCTGGCCACCGCAGACCTGGTGCTGTGGCATCTTCGTTCCTGGGGAATCCTGACCCCTGGGGGCAGGGGGCCGGAAGTGCAGGCCTGGTCTGACCAGGCCCTGAGTGGAGGCAGGACGTTGAAGAGAAACTCAGGGCAGGCACCGTCCCTCGGGGCGTCCCTGCCTGGGGCGGGAGCCAGCCGGACTCACTCCTGCAGGTGCCAGGTGGAGGGGGACACGGGTGGTGATGCCTTCAGGCCTGTGGTCCCCGTGGGAACCAGGACCCCTGGGCCCTGCGAGCCTCCCCCGTCCCCTCCCTGCCCTGGTCTGTGTCCAGTGTCCCTCTGCAGTCTCACTGCAGGACAGCAGTGGCCCAGCCCAGGTGTGCAGGGCGTCTGTGGCCGAGTCCCGCGGACACAGCTCGTCTGGGTCCTCCAAGGGTGGCCTGGGGCTGGGACCACCGGCTGGCTGAGTGGGGGCGGGCCCGGGGAGCGAGCCGCCCGGCTCTCCAGCGTCCCCCTCGGCCCCTCCCAGTTACCCTGGGCCTCACTTTCTGCACCGAGACGGCCGGTCGCCGAGTCCCGGGTGGGTCTGGAGCTGGGAGAGTCCGCTGTGGCTGGCCCCCTGAGCCAGCCTCTCTGAGCCACCTCCTTGCCTCTGGGACCCGCTGCAGGGTGTGGGGGGCTACTCGGAGACGCAGCAGCTGGGGTGGGGAGAGGCAGAGCTGACCGCCAGAGCCTCAGGGTCTTTTCCACCATCAGAAGCTTCTGGAACCTGCTGTGACGCCAAGTCCTGGGGGCCGAGGCGGAACCTGCTCCTCTGCCTGCAGGGACCTCTGTCTGTCCCCCAGAGTGGAGCCTCTCAGCAGGACCTGGAAGCCGAGGGCTGTGGTCACCCAGGGCCCGTGCAGCAGGCCTGGCCCCTGGTCGATGGGCGCAGCCCCCCACTGAGCCTGAGGCCTGTGCTGACCAGGAGCAGGGAGTGGAAGGGTGGCCCTGCTGGGGTCGGGGGACGGCCCGGCGCCACGGTGGCTGCGGTGCTGGGACTGACGGGTCCGGGGATCAGTGTCACAGGACCAGTGTCCTCGTCCCTCCCTGGCCCCTCTCCGGGTCTCCAAGTCCCTCTGTCTCGGCCCTTCCCTGACGCCTTGTAGAACGTGAACTTCTCAATGTAATGTTAAAGGGACGACATTAAGTATTGGATTTCTCCTCTGAAAATATTTAAGTGCTCAGAGCTGGGTGACACTCCTCGGCAGCTGTCCTTAGGACCAGGTGGGCACGTGCCCTTCAGGAGCTTCTTAGCCACTGACTGACTGATTTCCCACTGAGGGCCGAGCCCTTCTACTTTTCATTTAGAGACAGTGCTGGCTAAGGTGCTGAGGCTGGCCTTGAACTTGTGGTCCTCCTGCCCCAGCCTCCTGAGCTTCTAGGATCAGATGCGGGCGAGTGCCACCGGGCCCCCCCTCTGACAAGCTTGAATGCGCAGAGCAGAAGGTCTTAACCACCCCGTCCTGCGTGGTCTGCCACCGCGCGGGGACTCTGCATGTTGCCACAGGCTGCCGTCAGCAGGTCTCTATGAACTTTCGTTCGCTGTGACAAGCGTCTGTGAAGCCCAGTGGCACAGAACAGCTTCTTCACCTCCTGGTTGGTTCATTTTTGCAGGGCTGCGGGGGGGCCCCGGCCACTCTTCCACGGAGCTGCATCTGCAGCCCTTTTTGAGACGGGCCTGGCCAAGTTGCTGAGGCTGGAACTTGTGGTCCTCCTGCCTCGGCTTCCCGAGGAGCTGGGAGGGCAGGTGTGGCCACCACGCCCGGCCACGCTGACCTCTGAACAAGGCAGGAGGCCAGTGCGGGATGCGGAGGCAGAACCCCGTCTTCCTGAGCGCAGCAGATCTGTGCTGTGCTTGACCCACTGCAGACCACCTGCTGCCCACAGGGCTCCCAGAGGCCTGCCACCCAGCGAGGGCCCTGGCCCAGGGGCTCGAGTGCTCAGCTTGTCCTGGCCCCATTGTCACCTGGGGGGGCCTACCCCATGGCAGGGGTGTGGCGCAGCACTTGGGGAGCAGGGCACGCCCTCTTCCCTGGGGCGATCGATGCCCGAGGCTGAGCCGGCAGAACCCCTCCTGGCCCAGGGAGGAGACCTCTGATGGGGAGCAGCGGGGCGGGACTGGCCAGGTGGCTGGGTGCGGCAGGCCCTCAGGGCCCAGACCCTGTGGTAGCCTGTGCCAGCTGGGCGGTCATCAGAGGCCAGCCTGCAGCTTCCCCTCCCACCCAGGCTCCTGTCTGTCCAGCTGCGGGGCCCCTGGTTCTAGCCCCTGCCACGCTGTTGGCCTCCAGGTGATCACACTCAGTGGGGTCAGTGTCCAGGGTGGTCCCAACAAGGACGCTGGGGAGATGGGCCAGGAAGGCCCACAGGCTGGGCTGCGCCTGCTGAGAGGCTGGAGAGGCCCTGCCTGGCCTGCAGCCCCACTTCTGAGTGGGGTGGTGAGCTGCAGAGAGCTGTCCAGGGTGCTGTCCACTGCGACTCGGGAGCGGGGTGGAGTGGGGGTGGGTGGCCGCAGGCAGCTCTGCAGGGTCCTCACAGAACCAGGCCCCAGCTCGCTGGCCCGTGCCCGCAGGGCTGTGCATGCCCAGTCACAGCGGGACCCCGCCTGGCAGACCCGAGTGCTCGCGTCCTGAGCTTGACATTTTATTAAGAAAACACACGTCTGCCCCCACTGGGGCGGCTGAGTCCACGAGGCGGCCACTAGGCGTCCTGCTGCTGGATGAAGGGGTTGGGGATGGCCTCCATGCCGTCCTGCGGGCAGATGAGCACCACGGAGGTGCCGCGGCAGACCACCAGGCCCAGCTGCCGCGTGTCCTCCGTCAGCTTGTACTGGTCATCGGGATCTGCGGGAGGACAGACAGCACCCCGCGTGTCAGCAAGACCCCGTCTAAGGGCTGGGCGGCGGCTCCACCCTCACCCCATGGGCGGACGCTGCGAGTGACCAGGACCTCACGGGCAGCCTCTCTTGGTGTGTGACCACGGGGCCACAGCTGCGGGCAACCGTGTGCAGCTTCCAGGTCCGAGGCCCAGGGAACTCAGGTGCCCTGACCCTGGGGCTACGTGGGGTCCCAGGTGCCCAAGGTGACATGCGGGTGGCATGCGGGTGGCGCGGGGCCTTCTCTACTGCTGAAGGCACGTGCAGAGAGTTTACTTTGGGTCGGTGCCAGGGTCAGACCCAGGCCTTGCCCACGTGAGGCGGGGCTTCAGCCCAGCCCCCATGGTTTTCAGGTACGGGTCGGGACCAGGGGTGCGCACCCACCGAGCCACCCCAGAGCCCCTTCAGACCTTGTTTTGACAGAGGACCTGGCGCAGCTGCTGAGGCTGGGAGCCCTTGACCCTCCTGCCTCTTCCTCCCACGACGGGGGATGACCATAAGGGGACAAGAGCAGATCCTGTCTAACCTCGGGGACAGGCCCAAGGGCCAGACCTCCTCCTTCCCGAGGTCCTTGCATCCCCTGGTGCCTTGCTGAGCTGGGGACCTGGGCTGACGGGCAGGGCAGGGCTGGCACTCTGGGCCGCCGGGGCAGGTGCTCCCCCAGGAGGAGACACAGGGGATGCGGTCCCTCTGGGTGGGGGACGGGCCAGGAGGGGAGGACGGCTAGGAGCAGCTCTCCGCGAGCTCCCCTCCCTGTGGCCCCGCCCGCTCCAGCACCGCAGGCTGCCGGACCCCAGGGACAACCGGACCCCAGGGACAACCGGCAGGGCATGCATCTCCCACGCCCCCAAGGCGACGGACGGCCTTCTGGCCCCTCCCGCTGGACTCACCCCGCATGTACTCGATGGTGCCATCCAGCACGAGGTTGAGCAGCGGGTCGAAGCCCTTCAGGATTCCACTGGCTGACAGAGGTCACCGGGAAAAGGCAAAGCCAAGGTCAGCGGCAGATGTCGGAAAGGGGCCTGGGGTGGCCAGCGGATGTCCCCTCCTGCCAGGGGCTGCCCAGTGCAGGTATGGGGACCCAGGGGGGCTCCAGGAGGGCGAGGTGACAGCTACCACCACCTCTGGTCAGAACCCCTGGGCCAGCCGGCGGCAGCGGGCAGTGCCTGGAGAGCGCCACCTGGTGTCCGTCACCACTGTGGGAAGGCAGGGCAGCGCTGGGAGTGCACAGCACCCAGGAAGGAGGCTGTCCAGGGTGCTGAGGGGCCAATGCGCGTGGGTTTCCAACGTCATGAAACCCCTTTCTCTTGGCCCGTCCTCCCAGAAAAGATGAAAAGAAAAGGTGACTTGTCTCGCCTCCTCACACGTCCTCAAGGGACAGGGCTCCTAGGGCGCATCCTGCCAGGTCACTCCTGAGGTCACTGCCTTGCTCTGCCCCCTGCTTCCAGCCTCTGGCCTCTTCCTCCAGGACCCCCATGCACCTGGTGCCGCCTGTCCAGGCTCCCTCGCCCCCGTGACCCTGTACCCCTCCGCCCCCCTCTGCACTCTGTTTGCAGCTGCAAAGGCGGAGCTGTCCGCACCCTGCTGGGCCTTCATGCCTGGCCCTGATGCCCGAGAGGCCCCTGGCTCTGGGGGGCCCGTCTCTGAGCAAGGGCGCCTGCCTGGTGGGCTGCAGGGAGGGGGTGCAGTTGCAGACCCAGGGGCACCTGTGATTCCGTCTTGATCACGGGCTGAGAGCTGCGGCTGCCAGGCAGGTCTACAAATGGACCCCCCCTGACCTGGGTGAATGCTCGACTGTGGGTTTGGCCCTGGGCTCTCACAGGGTTGTCTCTCTTAAGATTAGGTCATGTGACAATGAGGAAAGGCCTTTGAGTTGACCTAAGGAAGATGACTGTGGTGGGCCTGGTCTAATCAGGTGGGAACTTCAAGACCCAGGCACTTTCTCAAAGACCTTCTCCAGCCGGCGCTCAATGTGAACACGTCTGCCCAACCCACGCCACGGGAGCAAGCTGCCATGTGCAGAGAGGCCCGGGCAGGAATGGGGTCCACAGACACCAACATCACAAGCCCAGGGCCCAGCCCACAACTACAAGGAACTGACTTCTGCCCACATCCAGCACGCTGGGAAGGGGGTGGGGTCTGTGTGGACAGGCCCAAAGAGACCCGTCTCGTGACGTCTGAGACCCTGTGCCCTAGGCGCTGGGCTCTCGGCCTGTGAACCTGGGAGGTACTGAACCCGCTGGCCATCTGCTACCCACATTAGGAAACAAAGACAGCCCCTGGAAAGCAAGAGCTGCGTCCACTCCGACACCCTGCACGCCCGGGCCCAGCTCGGAGCTGACCTGGGGGCTGCACCTGGACTTCCAGGTGTGTGCTTTCCAGGCTCTGATACCAACTGTCCACCTCATGGTGGCGCCTGAGTCCCCATCTGAGGAGGGAGGAGCCGCCTTGGCCTCCGCCAAGAGCCTTGGAGTCACACAGCCCCCTGGGGAGCAGGTGGAGGCAGCCCCCGTATGCCACGAGGACACTGAGACTCAGAGAGGGCAGCTGCCTGGGACCAGAGGCCCGGAGCCCCGGCCCCTCTCCCGCGTGGACCCGTGGGCCACAGGGCCACAGGGCCGCGGCACCCGGCTGGCTGCTGCGCTGTGAGAGCCTTGCTCTTGCTAGGTCCTGCACAGGCCAGACGCAGGGCTCGCCCCGAGACGGCGAGCACAGAGCGAGCGGCAGTGAGTGCTGGGCCCTCACCTGCTGGAGGAGGGCAGGCTTGACCCGGAGCGGGGAGCCCTGTAGGGTCCGAGCAGGCGCGAGGGAACCCACCCTGACAGGTTCCTTTGGCCACCATGTGCAGGTTGGTCACAGAGTTGTGGTTCCCCACCAGTGGAAACTGCTACAGGGGACACTGGCCCTATCTAGGGCCACTCTGGTGGTCACCACCCGCCGTGCTCCTGGCCTGGAACAGGGGGAGGCCGGGCCTGCTGCTTCATCTGCTGCAGTGCTGGGGATGGCCAGCCAGAGACCCCCTGGCCCCACAGGTGCAGAGGCCGAGGGAAGGCCCTGGTGTCTGGGGAGCAGGAACAGAAGCCAAGACACCAGGAAGCCAGGGCCGGGGGGGCTGCAGACACGGGACCACGTGGGAGGCCAGGTCCTGAGTCCGACCCAGCTGTGCCACTGGGTTGTGTTGTGCCCCCACCCGAGCCTCAGCGTCCCCACTCCCTTCCAGCTGGGTCAGTCTGACTGTGCAAAGTGGCCCGGTCAAGCACGCAGACCCCTCTTCACGGCCGTTTGCACCGCCAAGCCAGCGTGCCCTGGGCCTCACCTTCACGGCCCCCCTGGAACTTCACCCGGATGGTCTTGTCGATGTACTTGGAAAGGTCCAAGATGCTCTCCTTCTTCTTCTTCTCTTTGTCCTGAGGGGGGCACAGCACGTGAGGCTGCTGTCCGCAGCCCTCAACCCCCACGGCCTCCCCACCCGCAGCTCCCGTCCCTAACCCAGGGGGAGCACCCGCTATAGGAGCGGACCTGGAGCCCCCCTCCCCCCCTGTACCCCATCCCATCCCCGTTCCCCGCAGCCCGTCCCCCTCTGCACCCTGTCCCCATTCCTCGTGGCCCTGTCCCCCTCTGCACCCCTTCCCGTTCCCCATGGCACTATCCACTCTGCATCCCGTCCCCCTCTGCACCCCGTCCTCCTGTGCACCCCATCCCCATTCCTCGTGGTCCTGTCCCCCTCTGCACCCGTCTCCCTCTGCACCCCGTCCTCCTGTGCACCCCGTCCCCGTCCCCCTCTGCGCTCCGTCCCCATTCCTCGTGGCTGTCCCCCTCTGCACACGGACCCCATTCCTCGTGGACCC